CTCTCTCTCTCTCTCGCTCTCTCTCTCTCTCTCTCTCTCTCTCTCTCTCTCTCTCTCTCTCTCTCTCTCTCTCTCTCTTTCTTCTTTCTGTTAAAGTGTGTGAAATGTCGTTACCTTTGCAGTAGTCAATTTCCTACCACAAGCAAAAAAATATCCAATATAACGAAGTCATCTCTGGAAAACATCTCGAAACGATGAAGTGAGTTGTTAACACTCTATATATGTACAAAGATATAATATAGAATGTTGTGAACTTTTCTGCTCAGTTTTTCCATCCATTGCGATGTGAGACTGAATGATAACAAAGTTGTATACAGTAATGGGATTTTTTATGATTAATGTTTTGTCAGGAACTTGTGCACGTTTAATTTATTTATCTATTATATGAGAATATTTAAAATGCAGAAGGAAGGGGTATCCACTCAGTACCTATGTGTACATTATTGTTTGCATGGGAAGGAGAGGGAAAAGTTGTGGATTCGTGTGGATCATAAATGGGTGACAATGTTGGGAGAACGTTTATAAGTCACTGGATATAACACCGAATGCTGCCACTCTTGTTTTCGCGCATTTTCCTCTGTATTCATAAATCCTTTCGTCAAACACTTTTGTGAAATATTTTATCTGGTGTTTGAAGTTTTCCATTGAAGAACTCTTTCATGAATCCAAGTGAATGTGATGCATTTTTTCCGATTCGGTTTTCAGTGGACCAAATTTTTAGAAACATTTTTCTGTGAGTCCGCTCTTCGTGGATTCGTGGGAAGAGACAGTAAATTTTGGGCAGTTTGCAGAGTACCGTGTGGCGGCACAACGCCGTGTGTTGGTGGTTCTTTCATTTAAATATAACGGTGTGTATAAATAAGTATGAGCAATAGCGGGAGTACGCGAGGCCTGCTGTCGTCGATGATTTTGCGGTGAGAACTTGTACAAACGATTGAATATGCATTTATAATCGTGATGCTTCATTGAGGGTAAAACAGTGTGATATATCCATTTTCAATTTAAAATAATTGAGAAAAATGTTAGGTCAGTTGTAGAAATTGGTTGAAAAGTTTACGTTCGCAGTTTCTAGTTTGTAGTGAATTCTGCCAGTGTTTCATTGAGATACTGAGAGCAAAAAGAGATTGATGTCGAAGACAGTGTTTGGAGGTGCTATGTGGACATATTGCACCGAGGCCCTACCAAGGGTAGTTAATGCGCGCAAAATTTGCATTGTCGTGTGGATACGATCAGTGCTGGTTGATGACTTAGTACTGGTTGATATCTACCAACGACCCATTGTTTTATGAGTTGATTGTACGCAATAGGGGATCAATTTTTTTTACAGTTCAAGATGTTTGAGTATCCCTCTATGGAGTTTTTCCCACGATTAGTTTGGTTGCATGTGGGTGGATAAATATCATGGATATATCATTTTTTCATGGCGAATTTATTTTTTGTTGATAACAGAAAGACTTAACATTTTTGGGGGCTTTTATTCATGGAACAATTTGGAGAATTCTAAGCTGGAGTTTTTAAATACTGTTTATGGAATAATGGGGACAAGGTTCTCGTCACTTTCTGTCAAGGTCCACCCGAATTACCGGACTCCAAGTCTGTGTCAGTTGAGTTGAATGAATAAACCAAAACGGCATGCTTTTATGACTTTTATCACTCAATTATTTTCCTATTTTGCTTTTTACTTTGCATTTCCTATATTTTGCTTTTTCATTTTTATTTTTCTCATTTATCTGTTGTATCGCAAGGTCGATGGCTCTACTACGTGCGGTGCATCATTTCCCTTTAACAATTGATCTGTTAGTCATGATTAGGTGAATCGTACCTAATGATGTTTTTCTTTTTAGCTTGTTTTCAATTTTTCACAGGCAAATCGGATATACGTGATGCAGTTGAATTCATCCTGGGATTGGCTGCGTGAAATTCTGACACAGGTAGAGGACTGCTCTGTGGACAATTCGGATGTTTCTATAATGATTGGTGATTTGGGTGAACTCACGAAAAAACTGGCACAATTGTGCGAAAGAGGGTAACTATTTTTCCTTCCATCCTTTTGTTTTACTGTGAAGATACCTTGTTTTTCCTTTCTTGGCTTCTTTATCATTCTGTAGAATATCTAGTAGTGTATCGGAAAATAAAATGCCAAATTTTTACTACCATAATAATTGGAGAACTAAACCATATCTGGTTCTCCAATATGGTTCGATCTATATCTGGTTTACAGTTATAAATCGTATACTCATAGGAGAAAAATATCCTCCTATGAGCATACGATCAGTTATTGCTAAACTCATTTGTTTAAGTGTCATCAACTTCCCACTACTTTCATTGCAATTCAAAGCAAATTCTTTATCGATGATTTCTCTTTAACACTAGGAATATTACATTGAACTTTTAAATTCAAATTTTATATGGCAATATTTTTCGAAACTAATGAAATTTTGAGATTAGATCTGGTACGATTCAATCTTGCATTTCCAACGTCGTTTTTTCTATTCACATTCGATATATTTTGTTTCGAAATAGATTACGAGTCACATTAAAAAACAGGCTGTTCCCCTATTTACTGGATAATTCGAGCATACATACATCAAATTATTTCATTCTCTAATCCAACAGTCATCTTTCTCTCGACTTCGATTTACACGTTTAATAAAATTAGTCACATAACGGTGTTGTGTTTCAACTGCATTGCAGTGTGAATGCTTCTTTTTTCTAGGATATAAACATTGCAAGTTTATCGACTTAGTGTTGGAGTTTGAGACGATGCCGAAACGTGACGTCCTGTGTCTCGTTGCAAAAGGATTTGATATTTCAAAGTATGTGTTTTCCTATTGTTCTTATTAGGTTTTTATTACATCAAATTATTATTTAGAATATAAAAATTCCAGGAGACACTGGTACAGTTTGTATTGTAATATCAAATCCGTCTGCAAAATTGTCAGAATTATTGCAATTTATTCCAAGTATAAATTAATTACAGTTGTGAACGTTCAATAACGCATCATCATGGATTAGTCACTTATCTATTTTTCAATATAGAGCAGCTGTTCCTATGAGCACTTCCCATTCGTTACACTGTGATGGAAACGACAATAACCATAAAATTATCACAAGTAAGTATTCGATTCAATGATTACGAATTTTCTTTTTCCAAATGTGATGATTTTTTTCTTTTGCAGAGAGGATGGCATATGAGGTATTTTTGGGGGGATCCTGTAATCCCACCACTTGGAGGTCAGAAATAGCAATCCCGACACTGCAGAGACTTGGAATCACGTATTATAATCCGGTAAATTATCAGAAAATTATGATGATTATTTTTCCAACCCAAATATCGGGCAATATAATTGGCCCATTCGACATCACGTGGTACAAGCTACAGGGTTTTCAACTGATAATTTTTTGATAATTTTCTCTGGTAGTTGCTATATAAAAAACAAAACATCATGCAGTCGAATTAACCCTCGTCAAACGGAAATGATTGTTGAGATGAATCATTAGTCATGAATTTTATTGATGCTAAATAATAGAATGATATGATTCGGTAATGATTGAATTATTTTCAGCAAGTCTCACAATGGGGACCGGAATTAATAGCCGAAGAGTACGAGGCAAAACAAAACGCCCGTGTTTTACTCTTTGTGATAGATAATCAAACACGGAATACTGCGAGTATAATAGAAGCTGCGCAATTGGCAGCAACGAGAACCAATTCCCTCGTCCTAGTGGTTTATCCGTATCGACTGGGACAAACAATATTAGGAGAAACAATTTCTGCCCAGTAAGTTGATACGAAAACAAATAAAGATAGAGAAAGTGGTATAACAAAACACTGAAAATTGTTCTCAGTAATGACCGGTTTTCAGAGAATATTATGATTTGATAAATGGGCTGTCGGTACTTGAGTACTTCATGGAGAGACAAAGAATACCTATATTTGAAAACATTTCTGGAGCACTTAATGGCACATCTAAGGTAATCCAGATTTTAATATGGTTTTTTAATTCATCGTGCCATTAGTTCATACAGAATTTTCTCCCTTCTTTTAACTCAAATCTTCCCCATCATTCTTCATTTGATCCTACGTATAAAATTATTTTATAGAAAAACTAGGGAATTTCCTAGAGATTCGCTATTGGGTTTCTGTTGAAATTTCTAATAGTTTTTCGCCGATTATCTTCAAATGTTCAATAGAAAATATTCTATGGAGAAAGTTAATGGAATTTGATTTTTCTATACAACTTATTCTATTGAGCACATCTAAGGTAATCCAGATTTTAATATGGTTTTTTAATTCATCGTGCCATTAGTTCATACAGAATTTTCTCCCTTTTAACTCAAATCTCCCCCATCATTCTTCATTTGATCCCACGTATGAAATTATTTTATAGAAAAACTAGGGAATACCCTAGAGATTCGCTATTGGGTTTCTGTTGAACTTTCTAAATGTTTTTGACCGATTATCTTCAAATGTTCAATAGAAAATATTCTATGGAGAAAGTTAATGGAATTTAATTTTTCTATACAACTTATTCTATTGAGCTATTTTCCGTAGAATTTTTTCGGCTCAAATTTTCTAGTTTCTAGTTTCTATTTTTCTAGTTTAGTTCTTAAAATGTTATTTTCTTGATGAAAAGAGAAGAAACATGGAATGAAAAAAAAATTGAAAAATTTGAGTCGAAGAAATTCTATGGAAAATATGTTAATGGAATAAGTTGTATAGAGAAATCAAATTCTATCGAGTTTTTCTATAGAATATTTTCTATTAAACATTCCAATAGAATTGTTTGGCGAATTCAATATAAGGCAAAAAAAGTTGCTTTATCAATTATTTGAATCAAAACGATTTCTATAGAAAATATTTTTATTTTGGTAACCAATTTTTTTTAATTACCAAAATATCACTATATTGAAAGAAAATAAAGAGAAACGTCAAAAACATTCCCTTTGTAGTTTTTATAAAAACTTCATCGCTGACACATCTTACATTGAAAGTTTTGTCAGTTTCATTTTGTCAAGGAATAACGGTAATTGAACATATGTCACCGTTTTGAGTATTTCATCATTTTTAGTCGAAATATTCGAATTACATATTTTCAACCTCCAGATATAAACTGAGCTAGTTACGCCCGCATGTTGAATTGCGGTAGTCCGCAAGTGGCTGGGGGTTCTTTATTTTACCTCCCGTGGTTAGAATGTGATTTTTCTCCATGGCGAAGGTAAAAAGTTAAAGGGTCTAGCGGAATAAGTATGGTGAAAATGCCCCCACCGAATTTTGAATCGCCAATTTTTTCCGTTGTTCATCATGATAAATTTTAGGATTTTGTTTTACTAGAAATCCACTTATAAATCATTCATTGGGCTTCGTTAATAAACTTTAACACTTCCAATAGTTATTTTACATATGCTAGTATAATCACACAATATTTGCCCACAAATCGGATTTTTTTAGATTGTTCGCATTTTTCTATCATTTCACGGAGAATGAATTTTTAATTTTCAGTTATAAATCTCGGGGAAAATTACACTTATCGATTCATATATATTAATTAATACACTTTTATTGTATACTAAGGGGCTACGTCCTCTGTTCGCTCTGCTCGCCAACCCCCATGACTTACATATGACCCCCATGACCCTTATTTAGACCATTATTTTGACCCTCGTGACTCTTGGTTTGTCCCTCATGAGTCTTATTTCGACCCTCATGGCCCTTATTATGATCTTCATACCCTTATTTTAACCCTTGTGACCTTTAATTCTTTACTCTTATAGAGCTGTGGGATACTCCTAAAAAAGCACTTCTAAATTGACCGACCGACCACTGGTGTTCTAATGCGTAAGTCTTTTTCTGAACAATGAACTATGATCTCTGTGAACTTACGTCAAGTAAATAATTTCCCATCAATTTTAGGCATTGCAACTATTTACTATTGTGACGTGTGGATGCTCCACACGTCGGAATTGTTTAATCAATATTTTAATAACAAAAGTATTTGCGGGTCCGATGCTGAATAAGCATCACACGGTGTAACAAGAATCAACCTGAGCTCTTTGAAGGTAAAACCGTGGGAGTGTTTATCAAGCATTTTGGATTTGCAACCGCCTTGCGACTCTGCTCTAAGGCAGAGTACGGTGGGAGGCCGAAGTGTCCAGACGTTGGTCTTCCCCAAAAATCTAGATCCGCGTATGCCGAACCCATTTAACCTATTTTGTCGTGTAACCTTTCTATTAGTTAATTATATTTTCATGATTGGATAACTTGGAATGTTACTGGTTATTTGGGAGGAGAACCATTCCTAAATCTCCCTTCCCGATTAGTTCCCCTGTGTGCGAACGACCCGTAAGCTCACCGGTATCGCTAGCTAGGCGAAAGGGTCAAATGACGACCCACGGATTTTAAGATACAACTAATAGTATACTAAAATCCCAAACGTCACATTGGCGCCCAACAGTTTTGGGCACTCATGTTCGGGAAACTGAGTGCAGGAATTTATATTTCGATAAAATTATGTGACGTTCCATTGGAAGGTGAGAAAAATCGAGGATAGTTTGGTTCATTTATGCGTGGTTAAGGATTTTGCTTCGAGACTAATCAGAAACTGATAAAACTCCTGTTATTGTGCAATTGAGTGAGTGAATTGATTTTTCTGCGGTGCATTTCGTGTTGGTTTGATTTGGATTTCCAGAGACACGAAATGTTTTATCGACCAATAAGGTACAATTGAGTCGTGTATGTGATGACTAATCCGTCCCACTGGGGAATCGCCGAGCATCGCCTGCCACAGAAAAGTGCAGGGGTTCAAGATTCGGGACGGCGTCGAGGGTTGCAGAATTCACAACGTTCCACTCTCTTGAACAATTAGCAGGGGTTCTACCTAGGCGTGACGATTGGCATCGACCGTACTTCTCATTGAAAATCTGGAGAGAAGAAAAAACATGATTTTTGACCGCATCCCATTTCGGTTTGGAAGTGCTAAACAGATAATAGGGCAAAACAAGGGAACTGCAAATCTGTTATTAGGAAATATGGATATTCGGGCCTCATATTTCAACACAAACGGAATTCAAATGGCTTCGGGACACCCATGGAGTTCACTATCATATCACCACCATCAAGCCATGCTGAACAGTTCGAGGAAGAATATTTATGGCGAAAAGTGGTGGAATGTCTATAAGGCAGACGCCAAAAGAAGAGGTCTCTATGTTGAGTTAATGGAAGACTTTGGGCAGGAAAAAATATCCTGATCGAAAGGTCCTGTCACTGGTTCACAGCAAGAATGTCTGGACGCGAAATCCTTGGTAGAAAATGAAAGAACTCCTTCAGATTGACAAAATTTGGTGCGTTCAAAGGTCAGTTAGTGATCATGAAGAGCAAAGTGTTCCAGTTTTGATGGATGACAGTGACAAGTACACATCAGAAAATCCTGTTATTGGACAGGGGGAAAACATCAACACAAATACCCCTGGGGAGAAAATAAAGAGGAATGGAACAGCTGATCTGCGTCGTGAGGTCAGTCACAGGCGCTATCTGCCTGACACACGATCTTCTCCGGAGCGATATGGTCAGAAGAGGCCATGTGCAATGAGCAGGTAAATCGCATGGAATCGACAGATGTCATCGACACCGTGGAGACTGACGTCTTGGTTGTGGGATCCAGCGAAATCCTTAAAACCAGCTGACCAAAGACTCGATGACAAAAGACGTGAATTTTCCACAAGTCTCATAACGGGAAGTGGGCTTCACGAACCAGAAGACTCGGCGAGACTTGGAAGCTCGGACTGGAGACCGCAGCTATTTGACCCAGGGGGGTCAATTCACTCATCTGGACCTGCTCATCAACAACTTTGGGGCTGGAATCTCGACGAGGTACTTCATGTCCAGGTGCTTTGGCCATTCGATCCAGGAGGTGGCCCAGAACAACTGATATTCGAAAAACATCTTCTTGCTGAGAGGAGCTTGGAAACAACTGGAACGTGGACCACGAACAGCTCAGAGCATCAATCAAAGGAGTAATTTTTTGATAAGCGTGGGAGGGATACTCCCGCGGAGTGAGTAGAGTTTTTTTATAACAATGTTTATTCACCTTCTATTAACTTCACGTGTCAAAATTCTAGATATGGAAAAAATTACTCCAATAATTGATGATTTCTTCTTCAATTTCATGAATGTCGACGCCTTGCATTTACCGTCACTACTTTCAAAACCGGGAAGTTATTTATTGCTCAGTACTATTGAAATTATCTCAACTTCCACTTGAGTCAAAGACAACGAAAAAGAAAAAAAAATACCTTCTTTTTCATGGAAGGAAAACGAAACGTATTCTATAATTTGAGTCCATTGTATTGAAAATAAGCTCGCCAAATGGATTTTGCTGAACCTGATGGATTATTATTTCTAGAAATGTATACAGTCCACTTTTTCAGCAGATTGAGAGATGAAAACCTGCGAATTGATGATCTTACAGAGATTACTGAAATGAATTGAGGTTTGCAAATGTCTATTTCCGGAGGATCAATTGAAATTTTTTTTCTCTAATATTTCCAAAATATATTGAGCCGAAACGTTTGAAAATTTTCACTGGATTCGTTCGTGAGTCTTCCAAGTCAAAACTCTAGGAAAATGAAAATCTTTATTCAGGCACAGTCAAAATCTCTTAAGAAAGAAAGCGTCCAAATCACGAAGCATTTTCTATGTCAAATGTAATCTGATACTTTTGTAAGGGTTCGGTCGTCAGGGTTTAATTATTAAGATTAATTACGTAACTTTCGCTCACAAAACTCATAGTTTTCATGAAAATATTTAAGTTCCTTTGCAACTTATTTGCATTTTCCACGAAAATTTTACTTTTTGAATGAATCTTCTGGTAACAAGTGTTTAATTAAGCCCATGAAGCAGACTATTGAGAACAAGAAAATTTGCAATTGTCTTGACCCCTGAGGCATTTCATTCGGAGAGAAGAAGAACGATTTTTTATTTTTTGTTGAGTACTATTGTACGGAGTACTAATAGTTTTATCAGGGGAGTGTGACGTGTGGAGCATGCACACGTCAGAATTGTTTAATCAATATTTTAATAACAAAAGTATTTGTGGGTCCGATGCTGAATAAGCAGTCACACGGTGTAACAAGAGTCAACCTGAGCTCTTTGAAGGTAAAACCGTGGGAGTGCTTATCAAGCATTTTGGATTTGCAACCGCCTTGCGACTCTGCTCCAAGGCAGAGTACGGTGGGAGGCCGAAGTGTCCAGACGTTGGCCTTCCCCAAAAATCTAGATCCGTGTACGCCGAACCCATTTAACCTATTTTGTCGTGTAACCTTCCTATTAGTTAATTATATTCTCATGATTAGATAACTTGGAGTGTTACTGGTTATTTGGGAGGAGAACCATTCCTAAATCTCCCTTCCCGATTAGTTTCCCCGTGAGCGAACGACCCGTAAGCTCACCGGTATCGCTAGCTAGGCGAAAGGGTCAACTGACGACCCGTGGATTTTAAGATACAACTAATAGTACACGGAGAGAAATTTTTGATAAAAATTATCCTAACGTTCTATAAAAGTGTATCATGAGTCATCGCTTCCTTATTTCTATCCCGAAATTTAGTAAAAATTAATATATGATGATGAAATTTTATTCTGCGTTAGAGAAATTTTATCCTGATAAAAATAAAAATTACCGCGCCGGCAGAGTAAAAATTACTGTACCGGTAGGGTAAAATGTACCAACCGTTCTAGAATTTTCGTTGTTACCTACATAAAAATTACTGGACTGGAAGGGTAAAATTTATTATGCGTCAGGATAAAATTTCTCTAACGTAGAATAAAATTTGATCATCATATATTAATTTTTACTAAATTTCGGGATAGAAATGAGGAAACGATGACTCATGATACACTTTTATAGAAAGGTAGGGTAATTTTTATCAAAAATTTCTCTCCGTGTATACTAAAATCCCAAACGTCACACTATCAACAATTTAATTGTTCAAATCGCCCTAGCGCTCAAACTATGAAAGATATACGAAAATTTTCAGATCACGAATCAATTAAAATTTGATGAGGAATAATTTTTGTCTTCTGTCAATTTCAAATATCTCCTTTAGATTTCGAAATATGAATAAGCAAAAAGTTGTGTGACCCAACATAGCGCTCTCAAGCCGCAAGTAGAGAGCGCCATGTCGGGTCACGTAACTAGTTTATTGCTCATATCTCAGAAGATACGAGAGATACGTAAAATTGCTCATAGACAAAAATTACTCCTTATTAAATTCTAGATGATTCATGATTTGAAAATTTTCGTCTATACTTCATAGTTTGGGGGCTAAGGCGATTTGAACAATTTTATTGTTAATAATAAATAATTCCAATGCCTAAAATTAATTGAAAATTGTTTACTTGACGTTTAGTGATCATATTTTATTGTTTAAAACAAGAATTACACATTAGAACGCGAGTGGTCGGTACCTGTCTGAAAATCGAGGGTGTCCCACAGCTCTATTAATTTTGAGTACCAAATTTTCGTCACCAAAAGTCGATTTGGATTTTATTGGATTGAGGGGTAGGATTGAATTATTATCTCTGTGAATTTAATTTGATTGTGACTCTTTATTCAGTTGCACGTAAAGGACGCATCTCGATCTTTACTTTAACTCCGACTGTCGGAGTCTAACTTCAGAAAAATAAGGACCAGTACATTGGATGACTTGGAACGCATTTTCTCTTTGTCCTTTGTTCTCTGTTTTGTTCATAATATTCGTAATCGCCTGCCATTTGGTTGCCACGTAATATAAACACAGTTTTAAGAACCTCAGTCTGGAGAATTTCATGTGGTGACACTGAAATGTGTTGAGCTGTGTAGAGATTGATTTTGATTAGTATATTACAACACTAGGCCGTGAGAAACTTTTCTGGCGAATATGAAGTTACAGGATGAGCCGAAGGCGAGTTCTGTAACCATATGAGGCAGAAAAATTGTTCACGGCCGTGTATCGAACAGTATTTTTTGTCATTGACGCTTCGCGTCCGTGAATCACCGCTCCCGGACTGAGTGACAAAAATACTATTTCGTTCCATGAAATCCAGCAGATTTTTATAATATAGAGAGACTCCGAATTCCTTCGCCATGGCGGATGAAGCTATTCATATCCCAGAAAAGAATTCTCTCCCCCGAGTTTTACTAAAAATCTACAATCAGTTGGTGATTTCATTTTTTTTTTCGAAAAGAAAACAGGAAATGAATGGAATATATGAACAAGTATTAATTGAATATGCTAGCCTAATATGTAAAATAACTATCAGAAGTATTATAATTTATTAACGAGGCCCAACGAATAATTTATAAATGGATTTCTAGTAAAAGAAACCCTAAATTTGTCAGTTTTATTTTTTTTTAGTATGACGCAGGCAAAAAATGAGTTTTCTTCGCGTTATTTAATAGAAAAGCATGAAATAAAAGGCGATGATTTTTTTCAAAGTTGTATCTATATCTAATCATCTTGAAATGAATTTTTGAAAAGTGATCATTTTTTTTATAGAAATTATTGCAAAAAATATAAATGAAAAAATGTCACATATATGTTGATATGTTCCTCATTTTTCAGATTTTGAGAACACTTTTTGACGGCTGAAAAACACGACATTAGAAAAAGATGTTTTTTTTGCAAAAAAAAAAACGGGCAGAAATGCAAATAAAAATCTGAAAATTTGCATGCAGTCATATTTTATCATGATAAACAACAGAAAAAATTGGCGATTCAAAATTCGTTGGGGATATTTGCACCCTTTTTTATTCCGCTAGACCCTTTCGGGAAACGTCACTTTGTATCGCCTTCCCTTTCTCACCGCCGTGATGGCAAATTCATTCTCATGGACTTGAAAAAATGTATAGAAAATTACTTCGCAGAGGAAAGTTGTATTCTGGATCACTTGTATTTATTTTTTTTTTTTAGATTTTACGGGAAGCTATCAACGTTCAGGACTTGAATCAAGAAGATGGTATGAGGCCGAAGCAAATTTCCATGTCCCAAAATGGAGTTGATATAATGTATGTATTTGTATCAACATTACTTAAATCGGGTTTTCTCTCTTTTTTTCCCATCACTTCTTAGAGGTTGAGGTCACGGCGCCCAGATTGTAAGCTTCAGAATGATACAAACCTACCAAAAAAGACTCCTCAGTATCTCAATTTCTCATTCTCAGAGTAGTAATGAAATTAAAGAGTAATTGCATCTTCGGGTGACACTTTGGATTGGCGATATAATTTTTTTGCATGAGTCTTTGCATTATAGCGCTTTTCTTGACATGTTTTTTTTCTAACTTGTCCGAGTGTGTTTCTTTGGACGACTTTTCTTGTTTTCAATTTCTCCGTATTGCTTGGGAATTGAAATTTCGATGAAACAATTGAACCCTATCAGGCAACGGGGGTTGAGAGGTTGGTTATTTCAGTCCCCACGAAACACATCAAAATCCGACACAAAAAAATTCGTTTCGAAGAAACACCCCCAGACAAGTTGGAAAAAAATCGCGCCAAAAATAGCGCCATTAGAATTTTCTTTCTCCAATCTTAACAATATATCGAAAAATTATCCGTTACATCGCTATAATTCCAATGGCGGAATTGAAATCCAATTTTTTTGTGAATGGGGTATTGCAAACATACGTTTATTAGTATACCATATATTTAGCAGGGGATAGTGGGGCCAAATGAAACAGTCGAAAAACGACAGTTTGATGCAATTCAAGTAAAACATTTTTTTTCATTAACCCTCCTGAACTGACGCCCGCCCGCCGGCCGCTCGTCCGCCGGCCGGGTCAACTGGCCAGTGATGCCAGACGAGAGTTTCACAGGTCCCCCACTCCTCGCTCGAGTATTACTGCGCAGCCTTTAGGGCGCCGAATGCCTGGCGCTCCGTTTAAATCGTTTGAATTCGATCGAGAACGGCATGACTTCTTATTCCACTTGCTTCAATGGACATTGGGAAGGAAGAAGTTTTTGAAATAAAGTTAATAAATGTTAGATGATGTAATGATCGGACTTCACGTGGTCAATAGAGTAAGAGTTAAATGCCACAAGGGTCAAATTTCGGAAAGGTCTAACGTCAGAAGGATCACAAGAGAATGAAGAAAATTTTGCGGAGGTTGATTATTGCAATGGTCAAACGTCACGTGGGTCACAAGGGGTTGGTCAAATTTCACGGGAGTCAAACATCACGAGGGTCACAAAAGGATGGTAAAATTTCACAAGAATCAAACGTCGCGAGGGTCACACGACGATAGTCAAATTTCAGAAGAGTCAAACCTCACGAGCGTCACAAGGGGATAGTTAAATGTCACAAGGTTTACAAATGGATGGTCAAATTTCACGAGAGTCAAACGTCGCAAGGGTCACAAGGGGATAGTCAAATTTCACGAGTGTCAAGCATCTCAAAGGTCACGAGGGTCATGCGGAAATGATCAAATTTCACGAGGATCAAATAGTCCATGCGCTAGCCCTGTTTGTGTATGTACAAAGGAATTGAGTAAATGTTATTATTGGAATTTACGTTGCCGGTGATATTGAATCTGAATCCGAAGCTGGTTTTTTTTTATTAATTACGGTATTAAACAAAAACGGATGTAATTTGTCCCATTATGCAGCAAAAGAGCATAAATATTCCATTAACGGCTAGGTATAGAGAAAAATTAGGATAATATAATTTTATGTAAAACCTGATGGCGAACATTTTTTATGTGAACTATTTTTCTCTATCTCTATCAAGTTTGCCGATAAACGCATCGGTGCCGTCCGACACATAGCGGGCTCACGCGCCATCCACATCACTCCCTTCGCCCATAACTCTTTATCTATAATAGTTAGAGAAAAAAATTTCACGACAAAGAATGTGTATTTTGATATGACAAACAGATTTTGTTTGAAACTTTTTTCTCTATCGGCAACCGTTTCCATGCTATGATGATGTAATAATTAACCATTTACTCAATTTCGTAGTGCATACAGAAACAGGGCTAGCGTATCGACTATTTGACCCTCGTGAAGTGTGATCTTTTCGTTGTAACCTTCGTGACCCTCGTGAAATTTGACCTTTCCCTTGTGACTTTCGTGACCCTCGTAAAATTTGACCATTCCCTTGTGACCCTCGTGATACGTGACCATTCCCTTGCAGCCTTCGTGACCCTCGTGATAATTGACCCTTGCACATTCAACCTTCTTGAAATTTAATCATTCCCGTGTGACCCTCATGAAATTTGACCAAAGTCGTGTGATCCTCCTGAAGTTTGACGTGAAGTTAATATAGGGTCACAAGGGTCACAAAGAAATATAACGCCAAACATGTTAATATCCTTAAAATTGTGTCGTGTTATCAGTGTTGTGTCAATGTCAGCATCTAATATAATACTACGTTGAAAGACGGTGTCAAGTTTTTAGATCTTTAGTGGCCTCCAATAAATCAGGAATAGGGACCATTAATCGATAAATTAATACGTGGAATCCTGTAAAAATGGTGTTTTAATTTTTAATACGTCATATTCCTTTCTTTGCGGTTCGGACGATTATTTCTGGCATAAAATTTGCCGGGTTTCAACTGCGGGAGCTGCATATGCCCAGTGCCAGTGGGTGTGCGGCAAAGTTGGACACGAATATCCCATGCGCCGGGGAACTGCGCACGAAAATCCCACGCGTGAGATTTTCACCCTCATCTGACATCACCGAGTCCAGAAGAAGGTTCAGGGGGAGACTCAGAGGGGCAAAAAGGAAAATGTGATGCTGAATTTCAATCGAATGAAAAAAGCAGAGTGTAATCGCTCCAATCTAATCAATTGAATTATAGATGAAATATTTCATATTACTTGAAAAGAGAACTGTGGATAAAATGAGTGAAAATCATTAATATTGTCGTCTTGATATAAGAAATATATGAAAAATCTTTGGGAGTTTCGAAAGAGGAGAAAATATAGACTCAGCGATAACGAGGTCTTAGTTTGGCTGCTGGAGAGTCAGGGGATAAGCTGACTAGTGGACGTTGGACGATGGATATCTAATAGGGGTGAGAATCATCTATGGAGGTAGTCGCTACGCTATATAGGGGTTCTGAATATCAGTGATTTTTTCGCACCGCATATTCTTTTCTACCGAAGAGAAAATTATTATTCTCAAGATGACTCTCAATAATAAAAAAAGTCAATAAACAAAAGTTGATAAAAAATTTTTTTTTGCTTGAATTGCGTCAAATAGTCATTTTTTGGCTGTGTCATTTCACCCCGTGTTTCACTTTGCCCCACTCTCCCCTAATTGTAATAATATTATACCCAACTATTATATAATATTTCCTCTCTAAAGCGTGCGATACAGTGCACCCACAAATGAATATTACGCTACACATTTAAAAATGTTCTCTAATTGAAAAAAGTTTTAATTTACTTTTGGAGGTATGGTTACTCATGGTGAACGAATAGACTTCCAATGGTATTTACAACCAAAAATAAAGTGACTGTTAAGTAATTTACAGCAGCTCGAGTATGGCGGCGGGGCAACAGCGGTATTTTATAGTTTAGACTATGAGAAAAATAGTTCCAAATCGAATAAAGATTTTAAAAAAGCTCGGTATGCAATAAAAAATTAATAGGAGGACCAACGCCCTTGGCGCGGATCAGAAGATGGAGGATTAGATTGATAGTAGACAGTTGAAAAACTCCGCACCAAGAACGTTGGTCCTCCTACAATTTTTTTATTTCATAGAGAATTTTTACAAAATCGTTATTCGATTTGAAACTATTTTTCACATAGAAATCGAATTGTGCATTATGACTATTTATTTGACATTTCTGACTTGGTTTTCTTTTTCATTTCTTTGTATTTCTAAAAAAAATGTCTACTTTCCGCTAAGAACCAAACAAAACTTTTTCCGTATTGATCTTCACTTTTCCTCGACCGGGGATTGGTATTGGCTCTTCCCCAAACTCGTAAAATTGAAAAATCATCCGAGCCCGAAGGACGAGGAATGATATAAATTATACGTGTGTCTCGCAGGAGAGATTACGAAGGTAGCGCAGCTATTTTAGGCTAAATAATCACCTTTTATCAATGAACTTTTAGAGCACAATTTAAAAAGAACGCGCTCTCCCGCGTTCGTGTTCGTCATTTAGTTTGAAGTGTGAATAGAAATTGTGTGAAATCAGGGGTTTCGAAATTCGATGTTTTATTGAATTATCAAATTTCTGGGTATTAAAATGAGTGAAGATGTTTCGTGGATGGGTAATCTCTCGTTTTTATTTTCCAAATTTTTTTTTTCGTAATAAAACATTTATGAAGAATTAAACGTAAATGTCAATGATATTTTATTCAGTCAGTAAGACTGTTCTTGCAAACAAGTTGTCTTATGTTGAAATAGGCTGATGATAGAATTCAGCGAAGACTCTTGATCCATCAGTCCAGCCTGCGGCCTTTTTGATCTCCGGGATGCTCACGCCTCTTTCATAGTGTGATCTGTAAATCGTTTACCGTTCATGTGAACTGTAAACCGTTTGTCTACTCTGAAGTGCGTCAGGGTTTCTCTGATCCAATGTCCGAGAGTATCTTCCTTAACCCTTTTGTGCGGTTTGACAACCGACATGATCAACGCATTTTCGTCTTTGCGAAGGTGTTCCGTTACTTTCAAATAAGCCTCTAGAGTTCTTGCCATACATAATTCCGGTTTGTTGTTGAAAAAAGCAAGTTTCAAAAACGGTTTAGCCGGTCCAGGTCGAGAAGTTTTTATGTGGTCTGGAATGCGGACATCAATACCTGCTGCTGACTTAGAAATGTTTTCGATAGAGATTTTGGCAAAGATTTGAGTCCTGTGGGCAGTGCCCAGTGCCAGAAGAACCAGTAATGTCTTTGATAGTTTCTTTAAATCCAGGTCTTCTAGAGGATACGAAGTTGCAAGAACCATCAGGATTGGGTCTACATCCTAAGTATCATTGTATTTGGGTCTGGATAATTTCAGTTTGTTGCTGCCTTTAACCAGGCGTGAGATGAGAGAATTATTTGATATATTTTCGTGAGGG